TGATATAGATAATATCAAAGACCATTATCTGCGGCATCCACAACTACCCGCCTACATCTGACGTTCAATCGCAGCTCTGACAGAGCTCTCAGTCATAAATGACTGCAGCATCCGGTGGCGGTAGACTGGAAGGAGCAAAACCTGTTGCTGGCGGATGGCTCTCCAGTCTGGCTTCGGCGAACGGTCCCGTCCTGTTAGGAAGCCGCTCCACATCACACGCAGAGCGATCAACAGTGGCAGCACCACTGCAGCGGCACAAACAGACCCTGCGGGAGTGCTGCTGCCGCCGACACCGCCGGCAGGCTCAGTGACCCTTGTGGGGACTGCGTGTGTGTGTCATTTAGCAGGAACTCAGCCTGTGAGGGCACTCTAAAGGCCGCCCCACACTGGACCTCGCATGCGGGTTGCGAGTTTTTGGGTTTTCGGGTTTCTTCAAAATCAAATAATACAATCTAGGCCGAGTGACCCACACTGCCATCTAACAAGCGAGTCTGCGTGTTTTTAGCTCGCGAGCGACCTTGCATTGCATTCCAAAAGTTGATTTTGAGTCAACTTTCGATTTTCCTCGCTGCGAGGTCTGCGAGTTCTGCGAGGTTTGCGGGTTTTTCGTTGGAGCCGAATTTTGGTTCGTTGCGCTGGTATTGCGACTATTATGTAAGTTTCTGAAGGTGAACCGGCTTCACTGCATTCATGAAGTTACCATAAGGAAACGGTCTAATCACTCTATGAATTAGTATTATGCCCGCAAACTCAAAACCCGCAAACCCGCAACCCGCATGCGAGTTCCAGTGTGGGGCGGCCTTAAAGCTCTGTTCAGCAGAGCTGGCACGTCGCGCTGCAAGATCAATTCGAGTGGGATGCAGCTGCGCAGGACTTGTGCATGAGAATAGACCGTCGGCAGCTGCATCGGGGCAGCGCCGCTGATGATGCAATGAATAACATAACACCCAGCGGTAACAGTAACAGTGGCAACATAACACATAAGGTAACAGTGGTACACCTGTTGCACCAATAACATTACACACGGGAGTGCTCCCAGGCTACTCCCTCAGCCGCACAGACCGACCTGATGGCCGCGGGTACGGCGGCGTCGCGATCGTAACAAAATCGGATATCACGTCAGTGCCCATCAAGTTCCCAAGTTTTGAGCGCGGCTGCAGCCAGCTCGAGTCAAAGTGGGCGCTGCTCAAGCTCGACAAAGGTCGTCAACTCATCGTATGTTCTTTATATCGCCCCCCTCGCCACTCCGAAACCGCTTTATGTGCCGATTTCGCCGACCTTGAAAATCAGTTACAAAGAGTACTTATCGATCACCCTAGGACCCCGCTCGTCATCTGCGGTGATATAAACTGTGACCTGCTGAAGAAAGCACCCAACTTTCGTGCACGACAGCATCTCAGCAGCTTCCTATCGGACTACTCCCTAGACCAGCTAGTAACAACTTCGACTTTCACTTCCGGTTCGCTCCTTGACGTGTGTATGGTGAACAAAGTGGACCTCTTCTCTAACATCCGTGTTGAGTTTTGTCATTTTAGTCCGCATAAATTTATTAGCGTAGATGTCAACGTCCCCAAACTGCGTCCGAAGCCTACAATCATCTCAGCTCGTTCGCTCAACCGCGTTGATGTCACTGCCCTTAATTCTGATCTGGAGCTTGTCGACTGGGAGCCTGTGTTTACCGCCGCGACTGTTAGTGATCAGTGGGATGCATTCGTGTCCAACTTTTTGCCTATAATCGACGACCACGCCCCACTCAAGCGCATTACCATTCGGAACCCCACAGCGCCCCCGGCCTCTGCTGCCACACGGAACCTTATGTCCCAGCGCCGCGCCTCGCTACGACTGTCCGGTCGTCAGTCGACAGCTTACAAGGAGCTGAATCGCTCTGTTCGGGCCGCGCTGCGTCGCGACCGGCGAGAGGAGCTACAGAGAAATATCTGCGAGCGGGGTCCCAATAAGGTCTGGCAGTCTATCAGGACAGTTGTAGCAGGGAAAAAGGACGGTCCTAGTGTGCAGCCTAATTTACCCGCCGATGAACTGAACTCATTTTTCGTCTCTGTCGGACCTCGCATCGCTGCGGAGGTCCGGTCTCTTAACACCGCTACCGATCTGAACGTTCGCCTCCCCCGGGTCGGTGCATGTCGTTTTCAGCTCCGCGCGGTCACTCTCGGCGAACTTGGTCACACTATCTTCGGCATGCGCAACTCAGGCGCCAGTGGGACTGATGGCATTTGCATCCGAATGTTAAAGTCCGGTTTCTCAGCTATCGGTCGCGTCATACTTTGCATTATCAATACGTGTATTACCAACTCCGATATCCCCGATTCCTGCAAACATTCCACAGTCCACCCCATCTTCAAATCAGGCAGCCCCTCGGATCCCACCAACTTTCGACCAATCTCATTAGTCCCCGTGATTATGAAGGTTGTGGAACGCCTCGTACATCAACAGCTTTACCACTACCTCTCAAATAACTATCTCCTTGCCTCCTCGCAGCATGGTTTTCGCCCCCGACACTCCACAGAGACCGCTCTGCTGTCCGTCACAGACCAAATCCTCGCAGCCTCTGATAGGGGAGAACTTTCACTGCTGTGTCTCCTTGACTTAAGCAAATGCTTTGATGTCATCGACCACGAACTTTTACTTCAAAAACTGGCCATGCACGGGATCGAGACCTCTTGGTTTTCTGCTTTTCTCACGGGACACACCCAGAGCGTGTCCCTATCTAATGGCGCCGGAGGTAGAGTACTGTCTCGGCCGCTTCCAAATAATATGGGTGTCTTCCAAGGATCTGCCCTGGGACCGTTACTCTTCACCATATTTTCGAACAACCTCTCGCTATACGCAGGTGACGCCACCGTTTTCCAATATGCGGACGACACCCAGGTTCTAGTGAGCGGCCGTGCCGACGACCTCAGATCGCTTATCTCTCGCATGGAAGCTTCACTCGCATCAATCAGTGACTGGTTCTGTCTTCACGCCCTCAAGCTAAACGCAAACAAAACACAACTCATGGTTTTTGGCAGCAGACAAAATTTACGGAAGGTACCCGACTTCAGCGTCTCTCTTCGTGACTCTGTGTTGCAGCCAAGCGAGCAGGTGGGGAATCTGGGTGTTGTCTTTGACAGCGCCCTGTCCTGGGAAGCACATGTGTCCGAGCTTAGTCGTCGGTGTACTGGCTTGTTGATCGGACTGTCTCACGCACGAAATTGTCTCCCTGACGGTGTCATTAAAGTTCTCGTGACATCTCTGGTCATATCACGAATCAACTACTGCCTCACTGTGTACGGTAACGGGACTCAGAAAAATTTTGACCGACTCCAGAAAATTTTGAACTTTGCCGCTAGAGTGATCTTCGGACGGCGTAAGTTTGACCACGTCTCGGACCTGCGCGACAGGCTTGGCTGGCTATCACCAAAATCCATGTCAGATTACCTGACACTCACGATCGCGCAAAAGGTCATTAAGCATGAAGAGCCCGAGAACCTCGCTGCACTGTTCGTCCCTAATCAAAATTTTCGAGACAGGCACACACGGCAGGATCATCGCCTTCATCTTCCCCGACCGAGGCTTGAAACCGGAAAACGGCGTTTTGAGTACCGCGCCGCGGCGCTGTTAAATAGCCTCCCACCCCAGGTAGTGCAGCTGCCACCTGCCAGCTTCGCCCGGTCTGCCAGGGCCGCGCTGATTAACAAATCCCCGCTACGCCGCTGACGAGTCTGTTTAGTAGTAGACGAGGCATGCCGCCAATAGGTGGACGATCTGTTTGTGCTTATGTATGTATATATATTGTTTGTCTTATGTACATATGTGGATGATTATTGTCGCGACCCCCATCGATGGATGACTGTCGTCTAGTGCTGAGTGTTCTTCCCCCTGCCCGCATGGCTGTTACCCATTATACTCGGATCTAAGCCGTAATCGCCACGCCATATGTGGAAGGCTTTTGGTGTCAATACATACATACATACATACATACACTTTGCACTAGTGATAACACACATGCTGAAGCATAGTTACGTTCGTGACAACTGCATTTACGACATGAATGCTACTGCAAAGGTCGTACCACACCAGACATGAGCCGCACCTGTATAGCATCAGAGACAGCGACAAGGCTTCCTTAGCTTTGTAGCCTCCCACCTGCATCACCAATACTACCGCTGTAGCTACAACGGTACCACCACCCATCTGCATCAGGAGTAGCACCACCCCGCGCTACACCAGCATAGCACCGCGCCCGCAGCATCTGGATTCCGAACCAGCCGCAGTCCGGGTTTCCAGCAGCCCATCTCCGCTCTCTGCCGAAGGCAATCTCATGGAGCCAACGACCGGTGGCGACAGACCTTACGAGAATTCGATATAGTCCGATAGCTGGAAATCCGGCTATTTGGTGGGACAACCAGAGAGCTACGCCCGCGCCCCGTGCCCCGAGCAGCAATTCCATCAACCTAAGTGTAATATACGAGCGCTGGCGAGCCTTTGGCGTCAAACGCGCTTATAACGCCAGCTTAGCGCCCCGGGGGCAATACACACACGGGCTGATGGGTCATGACATGATACTCGATACTCGAGAGCATGTGGAACCATTCCCTATCGATGAAAGAATTGTGATCGCATTGCCCCTGTCCTGGAACTCTGGTAATGCCTTGTAAAAAGAACGTATTAAATATTGCATTTGAGCATCTAGGATGCTTGATAGAATTGTGAATTATGAGCATATTTACCCAACGATGAAGTGTTAGAGCTTGACGAAGCTTACGTGCGTGTAAACTGAAGAGCTCGTTGAAACTCTCGCAGTGCTCCGAGTTTCCGTTCCTCTGAAGTTTTAAAGCTCAATACGGGGCAAATCAGGATTAAATTGGATGTGCGCAATATTGTTGCACACCGTCACTGGGCAATGTTTGGAGAAGGACGAATGACCGAAATAAGCGCACGTGTTACAGTCCGACGCTCTATGAATATACCGGAATAACGTGCATGCCTGCAGGCGGCAACAGAGCTGCTGGGGGCCATCAGCAGCAGGCACGCAATCAGTCCGGGCGCTACACTCATGCTTATGGCCTCAATTGAATCGAGCGAACCCATTTGCGTCGATAAGCCGGCTTGAACCATTAGAACGGCGCGTGACAGGTCATTACCGTTTGGCCGCGGGGCGCTGGCGGGACTGGTGACCGCCTGGCGCGCGCAGGGGGCGGCACGGGGCGCCCGACGCCGCTGCCGCTGCCGCCGCTCCGGCAGTCGATAACCGGACGCTCCCCGGTCAACAGTCCGACAGTGGCGGCGCATCAGTCGATAGGGTTCGGCCTGATCCGACGGAGGATCAAGTCACGGTAGAGGAGTAAGGCTTAGTGGCGAAAAGAGCCAAGTAGAGAGGCTGGAAGACTGTGGACAAGCGTGAGACTGAGCTGAAAAGCACAGGACTTTGGAAAGAGGAGTTGCGAAAGGCTCACTACCGAAGTTACGCCACTCCATCGAAGTTACGACAGAAGACGTCGAAGCAAAGAAAACTGAAAGCAAAGGTGAGAAAGAAAAAAAACGTCATTTTCGTATCAGAACTGAAATGAGCTAGCTGACTTATAAATTTTGAGCTACCGAGACAGCCGATCTCTTCGAAGGCGCCAGTCTTCACGCGTCTCGTAAGATCATCATTCAAATAGGAGAAAGGCCAAGTAAGCGGCACAGAGATTGATCGCACACCAGAGCCGTGACAGAAGCGAGACCCTAGAAAAGCTCTGTTCTGTCGTTGGATCTGCTCGCCACCACGGCACACCACCGCGCCACCATGGGTCTGAACGAGGACGACCTGCGGCAGCTGTTCGCCGGCTACCAGTGCCGCGATGGCGACGTCGTGTTCGAGCGCACGCCCGAGTCGCTGGTTTGCTGGGACCGAAACGCCTCCGGCCAGAACGGCATCCTGATGCCGCGGCCGGCCAACCTGAACCACCAGTGGCCGCTGCAGTACGCGCTGCCGCTCTACGGCTACGTGATGCCGCTGCTGCTGGCCGTCACCATCGTGGCCAACACGCTAATCGTGGTGGTCATGTCGCGCCGACACATGCGCACGCCCACCAACCTGGTCCTGATGGCGATGGCAGTCTCGGACATGCTGACGCTGCTGCTGCCGGCGCCCTGGCTGCTCTACCTGTACACCTTCGGCAACTACCACAAGCCGCTCGACTCCATCTACGCGTGCTACATGCACGTCACGATGACGGACACGCTGCCGGCGCTGTTCCACACCAGCAGCATCTGGCTGACGCTGGCTCTGGCCGTGCAGCGCTACGTGTACGTCTGTCACGCGGCCGTGGCCCGTGTCTGGTGCACCGAGCGACGCGTGGTGCGCGCCATCGGCTGGATCTACGCACTGGCGCTGCTCCACCAGGCCAGCCGCTTCTTCGACAAGAGCTACGACCTGCTGGAGGTGATCCACATGGGCCGCGTCACGTCCAGCTGCTCCATCGGCCGACCGCACTGGGTCACCGACGTCATCAACACCGGCCTCTACTACGGTGTCTACTTCGGCTTCCGCGTGCTCTTCATCCACCTGCTGCCCTGCATCAGCCTGGTGGTGCTTAACATCCTGCTGCTCCGCACCCTGCAGGAGACGCGCGCCAAACGCGAGCGGCTGCTCAGCGGCGTCGGAGGGGCGAACAAGCGGCGCCGGGACTGCCAGCGGCGCCGTGACCCGCACTGCACCACCCTCATGCTGATCGTCGTGGTGACCGCCTTCCTGATCGTGGAGATCCCGATGGCCGTCTTCACGTGCCTGCACATCGTGGAGAACCTGCTCGGCAACAGGGTGGAGCTGCTGGACTACGACAGGCGCCAGGCGCTGATCGTCATCATCAACTTCATCATCAGTCTGTCGTACCCCATCAACTTCGCTATCTACTGCGGCATGTCGCGCCAGTTCCGAGAGACGTTCCGCGACCTCTTCGTCACCGGCAAGGTGTCCCAGTTCTCCGCCGGTAGCTGCAAGTACTCGGGCATCAACGGAAAACGCAACGAGACCATGCTCTGAGATCGGGCGACCGGGACGCTGAGGCAGCGGTCCCGAACGCCCGGAGCCGGAGGACCGGCCGAGGCGTCACGCGCTCAGGAAACGTGACGTGGGACTGCCCACTTTACAGGTGACACTGTAAATAGTAAGTATTTATAATGGCAATGTAGGTGAGATTTCATTGCCGCACGACAGGTAGCCCAGAGTAGTGAGGCAGAATATTGTCCACGGCTTCAAGATAAACCACCTCAGCTGCGGATATAAATTATAGATTTACGTCTCCGGGCTAACTTGGAAGAATCAGTCATTCAATGAAAATACGCTCAGTACATTTATACGTCAAGGCTAAAAAGAATCAATAAAAAATGTCACACAGCACGACATTAAATCAAAAACAGCTGACACCAATGCCGCAAATGAAATGGCCGTGGGACAGAGCTCACTGTGGAGCTCTGATGTATAATGCGCAGTAGCGACCACAAAGGCGAACCCTCTTTCTCTGATTGTGTTTGCCATGCAAACACTGCTATTGGATTGCCGTCATAAACATACATATGCCAGCCGCGGCAACGACAGCCAAAGTCGCCGGCCCTGTACGTAGATATAGTATTCCGATTGGCTGATATAGAAGGCGTGTGTATCTACATAGGTGTGCCACTACTTGTGTATTGCTTTTGTATATGTAAATTGGAGTTCTATTATATATATAGCCTGAAATGTGTATTGTATATCATGGCTGTTTGCACTTTGTTGTATTCGTGGTACGCTGTATATAGTGAGCCGTTAGCCGTACATGTGCAGACAGACGCTCGTTAATGTATTTTGTTTTGGTGAGTAGAATGAGGGTGACCGGTAGCAGCAGGCACAAAGAATGTTCCAAGACTAGATTCCCGAAGCATGACGTTTATTGGTGTAGGTATATTTACTTGTTGCTGATGCCACTGAAAACGTGGATGCGTTGTGATGCGCTGTTTTTTATGGGTGAAAAATTCATCGGGGCAGATGTTATGGAGGGCAGAATTTTCCATTCAGGCACTTAATTTTATCGATTAGTTTCCTTCAAACAACTTTTATGCTGCTGAGTGCTGAGCTATCTGTACCTAAATGAATTTCGTTTTTCATTTTCTCATGTTTGAGACGTCAACATGCCTGCAGTGGCATATCAATGATGAAGGCTTTTGAATATGTGTTATAGGGAAATCGGGTTCACAATTATTTGCCATCATTTAGAGGAGCTTTAAACGTGTCGGATGTTTCGTTGTTTGCCGACCATTTTTCGAACTTCCATGACACATTTAGTTGAGCAGTATAGAAATTATGTTGAGCCACCTCATAAATGCTGTATTTATAGGTTTTAAGACTGCTTTCACTTTAAAAAGTTGTATTAATGTTTGTGTAAACAGAAAGATCATTGAGGTGTTGAATAAAAATGCGTGTATGTTCACGTTGAGCTGCAGTATATCCTGGGATGAATTGATAGCACCAAGAATGTGATCATTTTTTCATTTTTCAAGCTGCTAAGGTTTTTTAGAACAAAGTAACACGATTGCCTTCTTGTCATGAACCAAAATGTACCGTAAATATGAAACTAAATAACGGCCATGTTTCCATCAATCGGAATGCCTAAAGAGTGACTTTTACTTAAATGAAAGTTGAAGTTGAAAGGCGCAGATATTAAAGGCACTGCAAGTATTTTTCCTATTGTGCTTATGTATTTATTAGGTTACATAGGTACATAGGTCTATTGTACGATGTGCACATACGTATAATATGATTGTTATCGATGTGCTTTTCTACAGCTGCTTATTGCACAAAGAGTCAGCACTAATGTGATGCTCTATTATCTCTGTTGTGCAAATACCTGTTTGATCAAGAAAGGGTTGAATCGACATTTAACTTAGATAGGCGAGTAAACAAAAATTACACACGGAGTCTGCATCATTGATAATCGATCGAAAATCTTTTACGCGCATTGACTTGGCTTATGTATCTGAATGTGTTTTATTCACAGAAATATATAGCCAATGGGATACCAATGATGTGTTATGAATGTTTCTTAATTTAACAGCACACTGGTGATTGGATATGGTCGTTCCAGTTTCAGAGAGCCAGACCAGCCGGCGTGCCCAAAACATGCCCAAAATCGCAACCCGCAGAGCGCACTTTGCGGTTTTGCGACCGCGAGCTTATAACATCGATATTACTCCTCTTATCATTTGTCTTAGGGTCGTTTTCGTCATCGCTTATATGCATGTGCAATGACACGCTTAGTCAGAAAATACATTCGTCCATTCATTGTGGAAAATGGACCAACGAGATGCGCCTGTATGCTGTCACAGCTGGTAATCAAATTTATTAGCGAATTACGGGTAACGTCATGAGGCCCAATTCAATTGGCCACAACATTTAGGTATCCTTAGGCAACTCCGAGAAAATAAGGTTTTGACGGCTAACTTGTTCAGCTATACATGAGGCTGTCATGCGTTCTAGGAACCTGGTCAAGCCTTCCTCGCTTTTTACAATGTATTGCTAACTACTTAGAAAAAAAGCTTTTTTGTCCCCTGCAGGGTGACTGGTGAGTGGATCTTCAAGGCCCGATTTTTAATTGTTTACTATACGAGTGCTTAGAAAGAAGTTGACACATGATGGTCCCATCATCCTTTGCCCCTTCCCCTGGCAGTTTGTCCCTCTCTCTGCAGCTGGGGTTCCAGTGAGCGAAGAACGGGCGTCCACCTCCTCTGAAAGCGAATCTATAACAGTACACGATATACGTCGCACCACGAACATGGCATACGTTTAGGTGCACTTTCACGTCTCATCAAAGAAGTATTTTATCAGTAGGTAGAATAATGTCATCAGAAACTTTGAAACGAAATTGAATGCGTGATTGCATATGATTCGCATAGCACCGGAGCCATTGGTGAGTTATTGCATTGACTCGCCGCTTGCGGTCACATGACAGTAATGAGTCACCTTACGTAACCATTTCAGTTGTTACAAAGTTCAGCCAAATCCAATTGCTAGTTCGAAACTCATCAGCACCGCACATGGGAGCTGAATAGTAATTCAACAGAGCGGTGACAAAAGGCACGCTCGATCACCGCTGCGGCGCGGTACCCGTCTTTGTGTCCGGCACATGGCAGCGGCGATGCAGGTGAGCGCAATATGCCGGCACCGTCTCCCTGGGGTGACAGATGACACCACGCGCGTGCCACGGAACACACAGTGTCGCGGTATAAGGCAGGCTCACCGCGGGAACGCTAAGCCTCTGTGAGGACAATCAATAAGCTCCCGCCGCCAGGCTGGCAGGCATGAGGACAAGGGGATCATCCCGCACCGGCGGACAAGCGGATCGCCCGACCTGAAGATCGCCTGACCAGAGGATCGCCCGATCATACAGGGTGATCGAAAAAAGTGTCACCCCTAATTTAAAAGCCATATAACTCGCAATTGGTTGGTCGTACGACTTTGCAATAGGCAGCATTGGAAAGAGCATACAATTTCCTTTCGAATGGAGGTAAATATGCATGGTTTATGCCGCAAACGAAGATGTAGCTATTCAAAAAGTATGTTAAGGACGCAATTTGGCGTGTTCAAAAGTTTGGTTGTGCAAATTTGTACTTTTGACAGAGTTTTTGATCTGACAGCTCACATGACAGGCTCACGTGAGCATTTTTCTTAACTGTTCCATGGTTACCGCTGCATAAAATTGATAATCCGGTAGTGCAGGTTGTCGCAATGTTTCGCTAGTTATTGGCGAATTTGTGAATAAGGCGTGCATCGCCTGCGGTGGCGGTCGGTTCGAGCACCGACTCGACTTCGAGTGAAGACGAGTCTAAGGTCAGCTGAGAAACAGTCTGCAGTGAACAACATACACTCTATGTGTAATGTGTAAGGTGTGTGTCATGTTGAGTTACGATACTCATTGTTCTCGTTCAGCGGTGTCCGATCCCGTTCGGGGAATTTCGTTTCACGTGAAAGTCGCACATTGACTGGTTTTTGGGCCCATGGGGACATGATTTGGAATAGAAAACAATCATGAATACATTCAATTGAAAAGAAATTGCCTGCTCTTTCCGATGCTGCCTGGCACGAAGTCATCCGACCTACCAGTCGCGAGTTATGTAGATTTTAAGTTAGGGGTGACACTTTTTTTCGATCACCCTGTAGGATCGCCCGACCGGCTCGAAGACAGCCTGGCATTGTCGCGCGCGCCTTCTACGCAGGACCGGAGCCCAACCCTGCAGCCAGCTCCGAGACCGATTATTGATCGGAGCATTCGGGCGGATCCACACCCCGGGCCAGCGGTGCTCCTGTCTATGGGGGATAAAAGTCAGCTGCCACCGGGGATGGCTCGCGCACACTGCCGTCAGGCATAATTTCATTCAAACGGAGAGAATCGCGGACCATATTGGAGTGACCGGTGCGGCGTGGGCCTCAGCGTCATTCCCAAAGAAGGGCATGCACGTTAAGTCACACACAAGCTTCGAATAGTTGAGGGAGCATCCGAGCCCTATTTCAATGCGGCACTCAGAAGCTTATCATGTAGTCCTCAACAGGCTGTTCAGACGAGATATGGGGATATTCAGCTCAGAGTGTCCGTGAGTATTGATTTAATAAAAGCCTAGCATCCCGGGAAGGCAGAGTTCAAACAATCCCATAAGGTTTGAAAAGCTGCCCAAAGTTGAACCGTTTTCCCAAATCAATTATCATTAAAAAGCTGTTCAGCGCCAGTGTAGTTCATCTTCCTCGACTATGAGAAGTCATTAAATCTTCTTTATGTGCCCATCAAAGCCACATAGTGCTATGGAAGTCGTAAGCAATGAATTGCTGGAGAGTGGATGTGGATGAGTCACGTGAAAAGGATACACATCGCACAAGCCGGAAATGTCTCTTTTACCCCGAACAAGGCACCCCGGAGACGTGCGCTGTAGGAGTCAGAGAAAAGAAAGTTTAATCTTCAATCCTTACGACAGAATTGTTTGATACCAACACTGGCACCGTTTTCATAGCCTGCAAACACAACGCCCCAGCCTTTTGTCTGATGTTCGTTATACCCTTACTAATCGCGGTCTTTTGTGCAAAAATTAGACGTCTTTTTACAATTTGTTGAAATGAGCGGGACTGAAAATTTCCTATCAGTGTTGTTTCATCCGCTGCGACGCACTCAGTACCCTTCTTAGTTTTTCACCGCCACACTGATATGTTGGGTTTTTTTCTTCTTCTACGCTTTGAATCGTCTCTAGCACCGAAATGCTAAATCATTTTCGTTTTTTCTCCTTTCCCTCAAGCAAATGAATTGCCTTTTCTCTTTTTCCTTGAAGACTTGCATCTCAATGAAGTTATTTTCGTGTCATTAGAAACTTGAAAACCGCTAAGGAAAATATGTTAGATAGCGGCCAATTCTTGCATTGATGTCAAACTGTAGATAAGGCAAAATTCAGATAATAGCCAAAGTTTTCAAACATGCCTTTTATTGTGGTTCTAAAAGTGCTAAGTGATTATAAAGGACTATGCAAAATACAGATGCAAAATGTCTCACAAAAAGTATAGTTTCTCCCCATCGTCGTATTGTCTGGCATCCAGTCCAATTAGCAGCCTGATACTGGCGGATCCCGAGTCGATCCGCGGCGAACAGATCCGCCCCGCCGGTAATCAAGCGGCGCCCCGTTGCAGTTGTCGATCTCGTCTCCGGGCAACCGGCCGACCCTAATGCGACTTAGCGGCGGCGAGCGGCGCACCTCCCACGCGCGTGGCCTCTCGACTTCTCGTGTCGACAGTTCGGGCTGCATTTTCCAGCAGCAATTCAGCGCGCGGGAAATCGCAGAAACAGTGATTTATCGGTTTAAGTGGATGTCACAAGTCATGACTCTGCTGCCCTGATACTGTCTGCAGAGATAACGCAAATGATTTGTTGCAGCAATAGGTACCGAAGAGAAGTCGAGCGGTGATACCGATCGTATTGAAGAATAAAGATTTATTCTAAAAACCTTGATATCGAATTGAATTCTTACTAGGGCTGTTGAAGAAAGCTTTTATGTTCCAATTACTACGCATCTCATTTATATTAGCCGTATTCTTAACCGGATGCCTGGTGAATGCACGTATTTAGACCAAATCTGAAGCAAACCTCTTTTACAACAAATATGTTCATATCATGATATTTTTTCCAATCAAATCTGATAATAACTGATTATTTGAAAAATGAGGTATTAAATGAGGTGGGCATCTGTTCAACCCAAACTGATAACTTTTGAGAAACACAATAAACTTAATTTGACTAAGTATGCACCAACTATGTCCCTCATATGTCCCTAATTTGCACCAAATGTGTATCAGATGGCCGTGAAAACGGCTAATATAGCTTGTTTCAAGCCATACCTGCATTTATTATTTTGGAAATATCAATTAAGAACCATATCAATGATAGCGAAATGTACTAAAACTATTCCCACTGAAAAACACTTTCAGTGGCGGATCCAGGGGGGGGGGGGGGCAAAATGGGCATTTGCCCCCCCCCCAAACGGCATGATTTTAACATTACGCCTATGGACGATGCATGGAAAGAATCGATAAATTTTTATGGTTTGCCCCCCCCCCCCCAAACCTCTGAGCTGGATCCGCCTCTGAACACTTTAAATACAATATGTTTATAGAGCTTTACGATAGCGGAAATTATGTGAGAACTGAGCATCGATGAATTTGATTATCGGTCATTATGTAGGAGGGCTCCTTCTCCTGTGCCGCCGCCTATTGCTCGGGCGGCTATATGTTGGCAATGAATGAACTGCCGCCAATGAATGGACTGCCGCTCCGAGACCGACTGAGTCAGAGTCGGAAGTGGAACTCTGCCGCTGCGAGCGCCCGCGGCTACAGCTCACGCGCCGTGGGCTATTTGCCGTGCTCTGCGGCGACGGCTGTGGCAGTGATATGGCGGCTGCTGATTGGCTGGCGCTGCGACGCCAGGGCAGCCGCCGATTGGGTTTTCTCCTGGAACCTTCTCGGACGAAAGGTCGTCTGAAGGTCATTGTCATTG